ATTTAGTGATTTCAGAGAGGAAGGGAGAGAGAGATAGAAACATCAATGATGAGAGAGACTCATTGATTCATTAATCGGCTGCCTCCTGCATGACCCCCACTGGGGACCAAACCCGCAACCCAGGCATATGCCCTGATGGGGAATCAAACCGTGACCTCCTGGTTCATAGGTTAACCTGAGCCATGCCAGCCGGGCTCCCTCCACCTCTCTAAAGTCAATTAAAAAAAAAAAAAGTATAGAGTTCCCACATACGATTTCTCCTAGTATTTACATCTTGTATTAATTAGTGTGATATATTTGTTACAATCGTGTTGTACATTCTATAGGTCTTGACAGAGGTATGACCTGTGTCCAAAATTCCTGCATCCAATGATTCACTCCATGTCCAGCCCCTCTCCGTCTCTGTTGGATGGGGTGGGGCAGAAGCTTACAGAATAGTTTCACTGCCCTACGTAAAGTCCCTTGTGTTCTCCCTCGTCATCCCTCCCTCCCCTACGCCCGGGCAACCACTGCTCTTTGTATTGTCTGCACAGTTTGCCTTTTCCAGAATGTCCTACTGGAATCATAGAGTATACAGCTGAAATGGAGAAACCCAGGGCCCTCTTGTGCCGGGAGAGCCCCAGTTCTTCCTCAGGGCGGGTCTTTATCCTGTGTCTCCGTCACTACTCACTTCCGGCCACTAAATGTGCGGGGGTTTTCCCCACACCAAGCAGTCCTCTGTGATACTGGCTTGGTTTCCTACAATTTTTTCAAATATATTTTATTGATTTTTTACAGAGAGAAAGGGAGAGAGATAGAGAGAAACATCGATCGGCTGCCTCCTGCACGCCCCCTACTGGGGATGTGCCCGCAACCAGGGTACATGCCCTTGACCGGAATCGAACCTGGGACCCTTCAGTCCGCAGGCCGACGCTCTAATCCTCACCCCAAACCGGCTAGGGCGGTTTCCTACAATTTAACTCAATCCTGTCGCCATCTATCTGGAGACAGTCAGATCCCACACACACTCCAGGCGCCGGCTGCCTAGCTGCCGTCACCTGAGCTTCCGACCAAGCGGCTACAGAGGGCGGTCCCCACGACCCCTCAGGTTTGATACTTTGCTGGAGTGGCTCATCAAACTCAGCGGAACACTGACTTATGTTTCCCAGTTTATTTATTTTTTAATTTAGTCCTTATCTGAGGATGTGTTTTTTAATTGATTTTAGAGAGTGGGGAGTGGGGGTGGGGAGAGAAACATTGATCAGCTGCCTCCCAAACGCACCCTGACTGGGGATCGGGCCGAAACCAAGTCCTGAGTAGGAATGGAGCCGGCAGCCTTTTGGTGCACAGGACGCTGCTCCAACCAGCTGAGACACCAGCCAGGCTGTTTACCAGTCATTAAAGGAGAGAGATGAACAGCCAGGTGAGGAGAGACTGAGGGCGAGGTCTGGGAGGATCCCAAGTGCAAGACTGTCTGTCCCCGTGGAGAGGGAGTGAGTCACGCCGCTGGGGTGGATGTGCTGACCAGCCCGGATGCTCTCTGAACCCCGTGCTTCTGAGAGAGTAGGAAGCTCCCGCACGTCGGCACCATCAATGATTAACTCCCTTCCAGCCCCTCTCCGTCCCCGGTCCCGGGAGGATGGGGTTGGGCTGGGGCAGAAACTTCCAGGTTCCTAATCACGGCTTGGACTTTCTGGTGACCAGCCCCACCCAGGAGCCCACTGAGAGTCACCTCGTTAGAACAGAAGATGCTCGGGGCTCTTAGCACTTAAGAACTCACAGGGTCTCGGCAGCCCTGGGCCAGGAACCCGGGGCAGACACCAGCCTAGATTGTATACTATCTCACACGCCTCTTCAGATTGGCTCCTTCCACTGAGCTCTGACGGTTCCTCCATGTCTTTTCATGTCTTGGTAACTCACTTTTGTTGTTGTTGTTGTTAATCCTCACCCGAGGATATTCTTTCCATTTATTTTTTAGAGAGAATGGAAGGGAGGGGGAGAAACAGAGAGAGAGAGAGAAGCATCAGTGTGAGAGAGACACATCGATTGGTTGCCTCCTGCACACTCCCTGACTGGTGCCAGGGACCAAGCCTGCAGCCGAGGTATGTGCCTTTGACTGGAATTGAACCCCGGGATCCTTCAGTCTGCAGGTTGACACTCTAACCACTGAGCAACCGGTTAGGGCGGTAACTTGTTTTTAATCACTGAATAATATCTCATGGTCTGGATCCACAGTCTTTTCCAGCTGTTAAACTATTCCATTGTGTAGATGGAACAGGTCAGCCCCCTATTGGTAGACACTGGGGTGGTCTCTGTCTTTTGCTGTTACCACTGACACTCCTACTTCTGTCCTGAATCCCAGGAATGGGTTTTTTAGGCCAAAGGATATTTGTAACGCTGTGCCTTCCCTCCGGGTATGTACCTCTATACTGTTGGAGTATTTGGAAAAATGTATTTATGTATTAGTTGTATATTAAAGCAAAAGCGAGAATAAAAATCGCTCTGTTGTGTGGGAGGTAGCAGAGTGTAGAGCTGGCGGGTGAGACGCGCCCACTGAGGGAGCCGTCTCCTCCTCGCCGGCCGTGTAACCGGGGCAAGGGGCTCAGCCTTGACGGATCTCTCAGGGCATTCCAGAAACTTCTGAACATAATGGGCTTAGGCCAGTGACTGGCACACAGGCCCCACACGGGATATTTTGCAGCCATTTAATAAATGAGATTGAGCTCTGTTTTCTAACGTGGAAAGATGTCCTGGTTGCCCTGACCGGTTTGGCTCAGTGGATAGAGCGTCGGGCCTGCGGACTGAAGGGTCCCGGGTTCGCCGGGGCAAGGGGCTCAGCCCCGACGGATCTCTCAGGGCATTCCAGAAGCTTCTGAACATAATGGGCTTAGGCCAGTGACTAGCACACAGCTAGGCCCCACACGGGATATTTTGCAGCCATTTAATAAATGAGATTGAGCTCTGTTTTCTAACGTGGAAAGATGTCCTGGTTATATCGTAGAATGCAAAAATGAAAGCAAGTTATAGAACTGGATCCAGTGTGCTAACCTGTGTGTCCTGAACAAATGTCATTACAATAATAATAATACCTGCTGCATAGAGAGAAAAGCTGCAAAGCCCATTTTATGGAAAACAATAGAATTAGAAAAATGAACGTTTCTTTCAAGAATGTAATAAAAAAATACAATCGACATTTAATCAATAAACATTTTTTACTAGCTGGATTTTGAAGGCTAAGAAAATGCAAGACAAATACTTTACTTCTACTCAGTTCATTAGTCTCAATTTCCAGAGGAAAAAGGCCAGCACATATAGACCCTTTTGATGATTTAGCTGTTTCCACTGTTTGAAACAGTTAATTACATGTCAAAAAAACTGGGCCTGTCCTTACTGGTTTGTCTCAGTGGATAGAGCATTGCGGACTGAAGGGTCCCAGGTTCGATTCTGGTCAAGGGCATGTACCTTGATTGCGGGCACATCCCCAGTAGGGGGTGTGCAGGAAGCAACTGATCAATGTTTCTCTCTCATCGATGTTTCTAACTCTCTATCCCTCTCCCTTCCTCTCTGTAAAAAATCAATAAAATATATTTTTTAAAAAAACTGGGCCTAATGTCAAAATTAATGGTGATTATTAAATCATGTTTATTGCTATAAAGGATTCAGCAGTCAGCGCTCTGAGCTTTTCCTTTTTTAAAAATATATATTCTATTGATTTTTTTTACAGAGAGGAAGGAAGAGGGATAGTTAGAAACATCAATCAGCTGCCTCCTGCACACCTCCCACTGGGGATGTCCCCGCAACCAACATACATGCCCTTGACCAGAATCAAACCTGGGACCCTTGAGTCCACAGGCCGACGCTCTATCCACTGAACCAAACCGGTTAGGACTGAGCTTTCCTTTTGAAAGTGGGCTTTATTTTTTTTAATGTATTGATTGATTGATTGATTTTAGAGAGGAAGGGCGGGGGGGAGAGAGAAAGAAACATTGCTTTGTTGTTTCACTTGTTTATGCATGCATTGGTTACTTCTTATATGTGCCCTGATTGGGGATCGAACCCACAACCTTGGCATATCAGGAAGATACTCTAACCAACTAGCTACCCAGCCAAGGAGAAGGTGGGCTGTATAGGAACCCTTTCAGAAGCTGCTTTTCTTGGTGGTGGGAAGCTGAATGCTCATGAGGTTGTCTTCCTGTAGTTGGGAAAATAAACAGTTGTTCTGGTTCTGCTCTCTCAAACCCGCAGCAAAGGGTCCGGGCGCTGGCGTCCCTTCCAGAATAGCTGACAGTTCTTGAACAGGCTTCCATGCCAGGCCCTGACAGAGCGGTGACTCATTGAACTGTCACAGTTCTGCCACCAGCCCACTTGACAGATGAGGAAACTGAGGCCCAGAGAGGTTAAAATCACTGGCTCAGGGTCACTCATGTGGGAAGTGAGCCCTGAACCCAACTGGTCAGTGTCCCCAAGCTCTGGTCTTTAGCCAGAAAAAATGTGTAAAATACCCAGGGGGCATTTAGAGGAGGCTGAGAATGTTCATTTTTCTTTCTTTCTTTCTTTTAAATATATTTTATTGATTTTTTACAGAGCGGAAGGGAGAGGGATAGAGAGTTAGAAACATCGATGAGAAATATCAATCAGCTGCCTCCCACACACCCCCTACTGGGTATGTGCCCGCAACCAAGGTACATGCCCTTGACCAGAATCGAACCTGGGACCCTTCAGTCCGCAGGCCGACACTCTGTCCACCGAGCCAAACCGGTTAGGGCCATTTTTCTTTTGAAAAAAAATATATTTTTATTGATTTCAGAGAGGAAGGGGGAGGGAGAGAGCGATAGAAACATCAGTGATGAGAATCATTGATTGGCTGCCTCCTGCTCGCCCCCTACTGGTGATGCAGCCCTCAACCCGGGCATCTGCCCTTGACCAGAATTGAACCTGGGACCCTTCAGTCTGCAGGCCGACGCTCTATCCACTGAACCAAACTGGCTAGGGCTGTTCATTTTCCTGTAGATTAGAGTTTGAAATTTTTAGCATCAGCAATTACTGCCAGAATGAAATGAATCTAAAACATGACCCCTCCTCACCCTGGCTGACACCATGTCCTCTCACCCCAGCCCCGAGGAGGCCGGGCGGTACCTGGAGACCTACAAGGCCTACGAGCAGAAGCCAGCAGACCTCCTGATGGAGAAGTTGGAGCAGGACTTCGTCTCCCGGGTGAGGCCACGTCACCCCCTGCCCGGCCCTCCCCCAGCACCTTGCTGGGTGTTTGAGCTTCATTTCCGATCGCCAGTCATGCCTCTCCTCCCCAACCCCACCCTCCACTTCCAGTCTCCCCTCTCCCACCCGAACAGCAGCTAACGGGGTCTAAGCACAAACCTATCCTGCCCTCCCCAGCTCAAAACCATCCTGTGGCTCCCCAGTGCCCTCAGGGAAAGCCTGGCTTTCTTGCTCTGCTCTACCAGGCCCTGCCGCCCCCTGCCCTTGCATTCTGTCCTTTCTCCCACGCCTACCGGCCTCTCAGTATCCCATCTTTCACACATGAGCTCTGTTGCTCTCTTCTCCAGGAAGCCCGCCCTGATCCCCAGGCCAGGCCAGGTGCCCCCACTGGTCCCCCATCCCAGCCCATCTGAGTCACCACTGTCTGGGACTAATTTGTCTCCCGCACTGTACTGGGAGCCCCAGGAGGGCAGAGCCGGGCTGTCTTGGTCCCTGCTGTGTCCCCAGCACCACCCAGCTCTCAATGGGTACTCAAGGACCATCCACTGAACGAATGATTGAATCTGGGCTCCAATCCTATATAATAAAAGGGTAATATGCAAATCAACTGAACAGCGGAACTACTGGTCACTATGATGCACATTGACCACCTGTGGAGCTGCCCCCTGGTGGTCAGTGTGCCCCCATGGGGGAGCGCCACTCAGCCAGAAGCTAGGCTCACAGTTGGCGAATACAGCTGTTGTGGCAGGAGCCTCATGCCTCCATGAGGGCTCTGGGCTGCAAGGGTGCAAGCCAGGCTGAGGGACACCCCCCCCCCCCAGTGCACGAATGTCATGCACCGGGCCTCTAGTGATAGAGTAATGGTGGATGCCTGCAGCCACCCCTGAGGTGGGTACTGCTAGGACTCCCTTTTGCCTGGAAATGGAGGCCTAGCGATGAATTCCTGTGCCAGGACCTCACAGGGAGTAAGCAGTGGGGCCTGGTTTGAACACAGCTCCGACTTCAGAGCCCAGTCTTCCCCTGGGCAGAACCAACTCAAGATAAACAAGTGGCATTTATCTTCTCGTTGCATGACCGACACCCTTTCAGTTATTTGGGGATCACTCAAAGATGACCTCTTTATTAGAAAAAAAAAAAGGCATTTATTAAGCACCTCCTGCATGCAAGGGGACACAGTAGTAACAGCACTGCCCTCATGGGCTCAGTCCTGCTCTTTCTTCTCCCAACTCACTTCTGCCTCCTCCCCTTCCAGGTGACTGAATGTCTGACCACTGTGAAGTCAGTCAACAAAACCGACAGTCAGACCCTCCTGACCACTTTTGGGGTAAGGAAGGATTCCTGTGTCCGTACAGGCATTTCTACCCCTGTGCCTTTTAGAGGCAGCCCCCTACTCTTTCCCTAAGCCCCCCTCCCCACTTCCTGCCTTCCCTGCCCTCCCACAGCCCTCACCTCCTTCCAGGAATATCTTAGATCCCTGATCAGCTAGGGCAGGGCAGAGTTTTACGCTCACCTCCCCTGACCCTTCACTCCCGCCTTCCTCAGTCTCTGGAACAGCTCATAGCCGCATCGAGGGAAGATCTGGCCTTGTGCCCGGGCCTGGGGCCCCAGAAGGTAAGAGATCTGGGAACGGGCTCAGGGGTCAGGGGCAGGAGGGGGCCCCAAGTAGATGGGACCCCAGATCCTAAAGTTCTAAGGTTTCCGAAGTCCCACAGTGCCTCTCCTATAGATGGGGGAAACTGAGGCCCAGAGAGGGTGGGTGCCAGCCCAACCTCACACAGCCAGCCTGGGAGGAAAAGAACCAAAGTCCACGCTGGATGTACCGAACAAATGGCTCATTTAATGACTGGCTCCCTGCTCTCTCCCCCACCCAGGCCCGCAGGCTGTTTGATGTCCTCCACGAGCCCTTCTTGAAAGTGCCCCGATGACCTCAGCTGCCCAGGAGGCCCCCAGTGTAACAATAAAGCATTTTCCCGCCAGGCTCCTGCTCGTGTGCTGCTGCAACAGGAAGGGGTTCTTCTCTGCTCGGCTCTGACGGCCCAGGGGCCCACCTCAGCTTTCCTTAGCAGTTGTCCGTTTCCCTGGAGGAGACTACGCAGGATCCTGCTGCAGCTTTTTCTTTTTCTTCTTCTCCCGTCTCGTGGGAGCCACCTCCCCAGACTCTGGATTCAGTGGCGGCTCTGGCACCCCCTCCTGGGATGCCGTCTCCGGCACCCCCTCCTGGGATGCCGTCTCCGGCACCCCACTTTCCTGGCCCCACTTCTTCCTCTTCTTGGTGGACGCTGGATCTGCCCTGGCCTCAGGCTCCGTCATCTCACCTCGTGGGCCAGTCGCCTCAGTCCCTGGCTCTGTCCCTCTGTGCCCTCTTTCTTTCTTCTTCTTCTTGGGGGATGCTAGAGCTGCCTGAGGCTCAAGATCGCCTGGCAGCCCAGGCACCATCACCTCTTCCTGGGGCTCCACCACCTCTGTCTTTGGCTCCATCATCGGGCTTTGCCATTTTTCCTTTTTCTTCCTCTTTTTGGTGGACGCCAGAGCTGCCTCGGCCTGTGGCTCAACCTCACCCCGTGGCAGTTCAGGCTCCATCCTCTCCCCTGGGAGCTCCAGGGTGCTCATCTCTGGCTCCACAGCCTCAGTCCCTGGCTCCACCAGCACCCTGTGCCCCTTTCCTTTCTTCTTCTTCTTCGAGCACAGCAGTGGGATGGCCTCCTCCTGTGGCTCCTCCTTCACCTGTAGCTGAAACTCAGCTCTCATCCCCTCCACAGCCTCCATCCCTTCTGTCCCCTTGTGTCTCTTCCTCTTCTTGGTGGGGGATAGGACTGTCTCTTGCAGAGGTTCGGTTTTAACCATGAGTTCCAGCTCCACAGTCTTTTCTTCTGGCTCCAGCACCCCCATTTCTGTCTCTTTAGGCTTCTTTTTCTTCTTCTTGCTGGTGGATGGGACCAGCACTCCCAGCGGTTCCAGCACCTCAGCCCCGGGCTCCGGCTTCATCGCCTCCAGTTCATTGGGATGCTGCTTTTTCTTCTTCCCCACATCCATCTCTGGGGGCCCCAAAGCTGTGTCCACCTCCAGGGTCCCGTGCCCATTCACTGCCTCCTGAGGAACGGAGGCCTCAGACACGTGCCTCTTCTTTTTCCTCTTCCCTGAGGCCGGTGACCTCGGTGCCAAGGCTGACCCAGGCCCTGTGACTGGCGGGCTGCCTCCAAAGGCACAGAACCGAGGCCTCAGGCCAGGCGGGATCTGTGGTGGGGGGCTGGTGGGAATGGGTTGCAGCGGGATCCCCGATAAGGATTCTTGGGGACCCTCTAAGATCCTTAGGCTGCCCTTGGGGGCTGGGGCGCAGGTGAGTCCGCCTTCTGCCTCTGCGGAGGGGGCCAGCAGGGTTGCTTCTCCAGCTTGGGGGCTGCCGCTGCTGAGGACCCGATAGCGGTGCCGCTTGCCTGCCACCTTGCCCTTCACCATGTGGGAGCCAGAGAGAGGCACCAGCCGCCCATTGAGGCTGAAAGGAGAGGGGGGGGAGGGCAGAAGCCAGTCAGATTCTTTCGGTGGCGCTGGGGAGCTGCATTGCTAGGTTCCTTAGGACAAGCCCCTCTAAACTCCCCAAAGTGCATCCCCTGCAGTGGCGAGTATTCCAGGGAGGCGGCTGGGACCACTCACCAGTCTGGGGCGAAGTCTACAGGGGCCTGGATAAGCCACAGTTCCGTATCCGGGCCCGTCAGCGCCTCCAAGGAGAAACGAGTGGACTCTGAGGATGGGGGCGTCGCGGTAAAGTTGGGGGGACAAGAGAACCGAGTAGCACCTGCAGAAGGGGAAATGGGGGTCTGCCAGTCCCATCCTCCAGGGCGCCTATCGCACCGGTCCCAACCTCTTGAGCACCCCGAAGGCACTCACCCGGTCTCTCTCACGGCCGGTTCCACGGAGACCCTTTATCTCCACTGGTCCAAATCCTGGGGGGCTCTTTTCTACACTGGTCGCCCTCCCAAGATATCCTCTCTCCGGCCCAACTCCCTCCAGTGCCCCCAGCCCGCCTTCCTCGGGGCATGCTTTTCGCAGGTCCTGTTTCCGGGGATGCCCCTTCTTCCGTCCAGGCGCTCCCGGCGCCCCTTCCCCCTCCCGCCAGCCAGCCTTCTGCACCCCGTCGGCCCGCCCTGAAGCAACTCACCTCCGGACGGGGTCCCCGCCATCCCGGCACCCACCGCTCCCGCTGATCCCTAGCTAAGCCGCCCCAGCCCCAGCCCCGCCGCCGACCACGTGGAGCCGAGGGGGCGGGGCCTGGCTCGGGAGCGCCCAAAGGGTGCGGGGGCGCGGAGGTGTCGCTGGGAGCCCGCTCGCTTTGTGAGCAGAACTGCGGGAAATTCCCATTTGTGCGGAGCAGACAACCAAGGAAGATCTCTGTTCCTGTACATCTGCTCCCGGAAGCAGCTGATTCGAGATCTGGCGGGAGGTAGAGCCCCACCAGGCCCCGGCGGGCACCCCCCTTAGTCTCTCGGACATTGTTTGCTCCAACGTCGCCTTAAAGGGGCAGCCACATTGATGGGCCCTAACTCTTAAAGAGACAGGAGGATCGATTGGTCTGAAGTCCTTAAAGAGATAGGTAAGAGTCTTGGCTGGCTTGGCTGTGCTTTCAGTGTTGCAGTCCCTGCTAGGGAGGCCCAGAGGTCTCGGGAGTTCAGAACTTGAGTGGGAGGGGTGGGGAAGTGGAGGAAAGGGAGCAATTCCTCTCGAGGGCGTGAGGTACCAGCCAGGGGAGGGGCTTCTGGACCTCCGGGGAGCGGGAAACATGGGGGGCGGAGCCTCCAGACTCGCGTGGGGCTGTGCGGGCTGAGGGATGGGGCCTGTGGGTCCCCCGAGGCAGGTGGCTGTCCCGGAGGATTTAATCTCGTGTGGAGCACATCCCCGAAGGCGTTGGGGACGGGAGAGGGAGCAGACCAGAGCTCCTTCCCAGACCCGGGGCGCTTGTAAACAGCAGCACGTGGGCCCAGCTTTGGGGGACGCGTCCACGCCCCCCTGACAGCGACGGCATCCCGTGGGGCGGCGAGACAGCGGCTAGACAGGGTGACCCAACTGCATTCCTGGCCGGTGTGTCAGCGCCGCCTCCCGCCCCCTCTGCTGCGATTTCGGATCCTATTCCCGCATTGGGGTGCCCCTCTTCTCAGGGAGCGAGCGGCTTCCCAGAGCCGAGGGAGGGTCAGGGGACGCGTTCCCTCCGCCGGGGGTCCCCAAACAGTTCCCGCGCGGGGGCGAGACACCGGGGCGTGGTCCCCGCGGGCTCCGGGACTACAATTCCCAGAGGACCCCGGGCGGGGGAGCGCCCAACTCGGCTGTGGACGCCGCCAGGGACCGCAGTCCCAGCCTGGGCGCCGTGGCCGGGACATCTTACAAGATCCAATCCGCCCTTTTTACCGACGGGGAGACTGAGGCTCAGAAACTCGAGGGGTACTATTTAGGGAGGCCTCCGCTCGCTCTAGGGATGGGGCGTGAGTCTCCCCCGGTCTGCGACCATCTCCCCCCCTTGGTAGTGTCCGAATCATCCCGGGAGGGGAAACTGAGCCTGGAGGGGTGGGGCCGGGACGTGGGAGTCCGTCTTCCGCAGCCACAGGGAGGGAGAAGTCTGGACTCTATTTCCGTGGCCAGGTCTCTCTGGGCTTCTGGGCCTCGCCCTTCCTGTCTGTGAAATGGACTTCGGATGCCTGTGAGTGGGAACGGCTCCGCCTGCGCCCTGCTCCTCCGGGACTACAAGTCCCAAGGTGCTCGAGGCGACCCCGGCTCCCCCTCCCCTCAGGGACCCGCCTCCCTCCAGCCGGAGTCACGTTGTCCAACCTGTTCCCGGAGTCTGCCCCGCCCCGTCCTCCGCGCCCCGCCGCCGGAGCCGAAGCCGGAGGAAGACCCCTGGTGCCAGGATCGGCCCCTGATCCGTGAGTTCCGCCTCGCCCGGGTCCAGCGGCTCCGGAGGAGCCGACACCGCGTCCCTGGGAGGACTGGGAGGGGAACCGGACGCCGGGTCCCAGCGCGGGATTGGGGGTGCGCAGACGCAGGGTCCGTGGAAGGAGAGAACTTGGATACTTAGTTTACTGGGCAGAAGGGAAGGGGGCCGGGATGCCTGAGTTCTTGGAAGGGAGGACTCGGACGCCTTGGTTCCGGGGGAGACGTTGGAGCTGGGACTCCTGAGTCCTTCGAACTGGGGGCTCTCGGAACCCTGAGTCCTTGAGTAGAATTGGGGGAAGCGGGTGCCTGAATCTGGGGCAGAAATGGGAGGCTCGGACGGCTGGGGCTCTGGAATGGGAGGCCATCCTACCACTCTCGGTGCCGCCTTCTCCACCGAGCCCGTAGGTCTCCGAGAAGAATTAGGGTGGGGAGGGGGTAGTGGAGCCCGGGTTCCTGAAATGGAGCGAGACAAATACCCGGGGTCCCTCTGGAGGCTGTGTGGCGCTCCCCAAACTTCCCGGCTCTGGGGTGGGGGCTGGGGCAGCTCTCCAAACTCCCCGGTGCCGCTGCGCGATCCCCAACATGTCATTAACCGAGGCGTCAGACCTGCCTAACCAGAGAAGGGACCTCCGCCCAAGGGCGCCCCCTGGCGCGGGTGTGGTGCCTCCGATTGCCCCATGGAGGTGGGAAACCACGGGGGTTTGCAGAGGGCGGGCGTTCTAGGTAGAACCCAGGGCCGAATTCCAGAAGGTGGGGTTGGATTCGGGGAGGCTTGCAGAGCTGGGCACCACGCAGTCATTACACAGAGAGGATGGGGGTCAACCAAGCTCGGAGGCCAGAGTGGGAGGGGAAACCCAGATTTGGCATCCCCCCTCCCTCTGCAGCTCTCTGGGGTGCAGAATTCCATCCGCTCCCACTAGATTTTCCGACTAACCTTTCCCCTCCTAGGGCTACTGGCCCTGACCCTGAGGTGAGAAATGTCACCTCCACCCCCTCTGTCTGACCTGAAGTAGCGTGGGAGATAAGGGAGGGATGAGGCTAATTCTGGAGGTGTGTGTCAGTCCTTGAAGGGGGGGGGGGAGGGCAGGGCCCCACACCTCCCTCTGTCTGTCTCCCCCTTCTCTCCACCCGCAAGTGTCATGGGAAAGGATTAAACCAGGGGGTGGGGAGGCAAGGGGCTCTGATTCGAGAGGGAAGAACTTCCTAATAGTTTGGGCTTGAAGGGCATTTGGTAACAGCCTGTGATGACATTAAAAATAATAACCGTGGCTGCCAAGAGAGCTCACGGCATGCCAGGCTCGGGGTTGGCAGGTAGACCAGACGGTGCCCATTGTCTCCGGCAACCGTTCAAAGGTGTCACTTCCAATGAGGTTTGCTGACCCCACCCCAGGGAATGAATGACTTCTCCCTGCTCCAGTGGGGAGACAGGCTGGAGAGCAGGCACAGCCTACGGCGCCCTGGGCTTCTGCCACGTTCTCTCTGGAACCTTCCAGGGCTCCTCGGGCCCCCGTGCTTCAATTATTGTGGATGATCCCTGGCCAGAACTCAGGAATGTACATGGAGAGGTCAGGGCTCAGGAAGTGAAGACTCCAGAGGTCCAAATGCAGGGCTTTTAGAATCTCAGAAAGAGTTGAAAGGGCTCTTTTGGGGGGACATTCCTTTGGGTATTGAGCCCTCTCTCTGTGCCAGACCCTGTGATATCTTAACGATAAGCAAAGGAAGACCGTAATTAAGAATCCTCTATGTATGAACTTTATTTGGCGCCCTGCACTGTTCTAAACGCTGTTTTAAACACATAAATTCTGTCACTCAAACCTCACACCCCTGTAATGTGAAGGTTTTAATCGCCCCATTATACACACGAGAAAACAGACACAGAGAAGCTCAATAACTAGTCCAAGGAAGAGGCTTAGAGGGGAAGGTCCTAGCCCATACCCCAGCTGTCCCCAGAGGGGGGTACCCAGTCCCAGAGAGGGTGGGGCTTCTTCCAGCGTCAGTCTGTCTGCACAGAACTGTAGGATTAGAACCTGGGTATTCCCAGGCCAGGCTAGCGCTCGGACACGGTCCCTACTGAGCATGATTCTTCTGGAACGACCCCACCCCCACCTCCTGCCCGGATTCTTAACCCAGAGAACCTGGTTGGAGTGCAGAGGAGGCCTGGAAAAGAGAGCGAGGGGTAGGGGGCAGGGGAGAAGCGGGAGCTTGGGTTGGAGAGTACCTGGGGGTGAAGGGCTAGGGCCTGGGAGCAGAGGCGCCGCCCTCAC